GTGCATCAGCCAGATCCCACCTAACCCTACACAGGGCCATATCGAGGCACACGCAGACCCAGAGGGAAGGGCAGGTGCCCAAACACCACCCCTCTCCTTTTCTCTCTCCCCAGGGCAGCCCCGGCGATGCTCTCTGGACGACCACATATCCTTCAGCCCTGGGGCAGGCTGGAAGACTTGTGATTTTGTTGTTTCCAATGTCAAGGGAAGCAAACAACAAATCCCAGTCTCCGCCCTGCCCCAGGCACAGGCTCCACGCTGGCGGGCACTGCTGGCTCCAGCACAGCCGACCCCGCAAGCTGGGAATGCTGCACCCATGTGCAAACCCCGGTGAAACGCGGCCAGGGCTGGGTGGGCAGCTGCAGGGAACAAGGTAGCAACTTGCTGGAGAAATTAAAAATAAACCAAGTCAGAGCAACGTGAATACGGACCTGAATGTGACATGGTCACGTCCTGCTGGCAGGCAGCCGAGCAAGCTGGCGATGTCTCAACCACTCTCTAAATCATTGTTTTCTGCCCTGAAATGCTGCAGAATTGAGCAGAGAGGCAAAGGAGCTTCATTCAGCCTGCTCTGCCTCTAGCCCTTCCTTATGGCTCCCGTGGCTGAGCAAAGATGCTGCAGCAGTTCAATATACATACATATATATATGTGTATATACACACACGTATATTTTTTCCAAGCTATCCCACTCCATGACCTCCTAACGCTGGGAGATTTCCCTGCTGACCCCCTCTTGCAGCACGTTCAGAAGTTATTAACTTTAACAGAGTCAGTTTGAACTTGCACCCCCATAATCACGGCTGTGGCCGCAGGAAACAGCCCATGCTGTGGCCGGGGCCCTTCGTAAAATAAAAAATGGTTTCTTGAAAGAAATTTAGACGTTCGTTTCCTGCAGTATCTCCCTCTGCCACATTTAAGAGGTTTGATTTCAAAGTTGAAAGTGTTACATTTGGGTATTGGGGGGAAAAGGCTGCGGTTGTCTGCCAGGGAGGGGGGAGGAATAAGGTGAAAATAAGTCCTTGACAGCAGAAATCTCTCCAAATCCATCAGCCATATTTGCCACTACCTGCTGAGGAAATTGCTCCTTCCATTACATTTTAAAGGAATTAATTCTGTTTATCAGAGAAAAACGAGAGGAAACAGTCAGCAAGGAACACCTTTGGACAATTCCTCGGGGAAGGAGATACACAACAGGGAGAAAGTGCAATTGTTCCTTTGAAAGTGGGCTTTTGAACAGCACATTACTGAGGATTAGGGAAAGCTCTCTGGAGGGGATTAATGTTTCACTAAAAAGCTCCTTTCTCACCAGTCTTCAAAGCCGCCTTTTCCTCCCAAGCCTGGGCCGACCAAAGGTGAGACCCAAATCCCCTTGCGGATACCCAGGCCTGGAGCAGCCGCATCCCTCACACCTCCAGGCTCGTCCGACCACAGCCCCGCCGTGTCCCACCCCACGGCCCCTTCTGGGGAAGCCACAAGCCCTTCCCTCCCAGCTTTTATCCCCCATTTTGAGAAGGGGGGGAACGCTGCTGCTCCCACTACCCTGCCCAGAGCCAAGGCCAGAGGCTCCCAAGGTGCAGGTGCAGGGCAGAGCTCTGAGCTCAGCACTTCGCCCCAGTGCGTAGGCACGGGCAGATCACGATTCTTTTCTGCCCCCCGAGGGATAAGGGGGACCAGAGCATCAGTTGTAGCAGCTACAGGGAAAAGCCTGCAAAGCCCGCTAAAGAGACAGTGCTCAGCACAACCTTGGGGGAAAATAACTCCTGTAAGGGCCGAGGGGTTGGTAAAAGCTGCACCAGCGCAGAGCATTTCCCTGAGCTCGTCCCCTTCCCCGCAGGGGGAAGCAGCTGCTCCCCTCTGCACTGCTTCACCTCCAGAGCCACAAATCCATCCGGCTGCTCCACACAAGTACAGCAAAGCCCCTCCGGAGCAGCAAGGAGGGGAGCATGGAGGGTAGCAGCTTTGCCAAATTGCCCAGGGGAAGCTGGAGAGCTGGTAGATGAACATCAGATGCAAACAGAGGCTGCAAGCCGAGATAGCAGGCTGCCCTGTTATCTTTATTTTAGCACCTTGGTCGGTGAGCTGGCAGCAGGTGAGGAATAATCTCAAACTGACATAAGAGCGGATGCTGCGACACGGAGAGACAGGAGAAATATGTTTTCCTGCTTAAACAAGCAGAGGGACACTGAGGACTGAATGGCCTGTGAAGACTCAGCATTTCCCCCTCTTCTCCCCTGAACAGATGACAATCATTATCCTCCTTCTGTGGGAAGCACTGGAGAATGGCTTCCACGCACTTGCCACGGTCCAGAGCCCTCTCTGGAAAAGCAGGACTTCAGCTTAAGAAAAAAAAAAAAAATCCTAGCAAGAACTTCTACAAGAAGCACATTAATTCTCCTCAATAATTCACAGCAGCCTGCCTACACTACCAGCAGGATCCCTCCACCACGCAGGTATTTCCAGCCAGCTTTGCTCGCAGGCACCAAGCAGCCAGCCTCTGTGCGGCTCAGCTCCGGCCTCATCTCAGTGATGCTGAAGCATCACCAACTCTGCTCCACCTCACCGGTCCAAGCCGAGACAGCAATGGCAGCCACAGCCTCGCAGGAGCCCTCCCTCTCGGCAGGCTCATTGCTTTGGACTCACCGGACCCCCCTGGCCTCTCCAAGTCCCTCCTACATCAGAAACGGAGGGACAGGTCAGAAGCTTCTATCCAGCAAGCAGCACACCAGCTCCCCTCACACGCACACAGATCCCTCGCGCTGGTGTGATTTACACCACATCAGCACATCTTGCTAACACTGAGGAGGGAGCTGGAAGGACCGTTTTCTGGCTGGCCAGGAAACAACAGGGTTTGGGACTAGTTTTGCTTTTCAAAGAGGTTCAAGCGCAGAGCACAACCTTTTCGCAAAGATGGGGGTACGTCTCCACTCCCCGTGACCCAGCAGCACCACCTCTCCTTCCAGCTGCCTTCTCTGCTCCCTCTCACTCACCTGGTTACCCCCATCCTCCCACAAGCGCATTCTTTGCAAGAGCTGGCTTGCGTGGGGACGGAGTCTTTGCAGAGATAAATAGACCTTAGTGCAGGCAAAGGACATCTGCCAAATCTAAGATACCATGAAGGACCATACAGGCCTTTTTATAAGCCCATTTTTAGCTGCAAAGGGGCCAATTAGCAACATTAGGAAAGAGCTCTGACCCTGCCAGTGCAATCAAGAACTTCAGTACCCATCCTTACGCAGCTCTTTGCAAATCCTTTTTATGTTTGAGGAGAGGTTGCAAAAAGAAATCCACATGTATGTGCACAGCCTCCAAGAGAAGAGATTAAAGTTAGGCTTTCCGAATCCTCATCTAAAAAACCCGAGTCTCGTTGTGATGCACATACACAAAGGCAGGAGCATTTCCAGCCCGCGTGCACTCCCATGTTTTCTCAAGCAACCACTGCTCCACCTACGCTCTCCAACAACACAGGATATTGATAGATGCCATCTCAAACTCAGAAGCAAGCTGGGTGCAGCAGGTTTTACAGGTATACAGGCAAGCAGTGCTGAGATTCCTCCCATTCCCTCTCACTACCCAATCCTCCCCTTCCAGAAGAAACTTTAAAAAAAAAAAACCCAAAACAAAACAGAATACTAACACCCAGCTAACAGCAAGCACTGTGCTTGCTATAGAAAAGCAGGGGTAAAATCCACTGCGCACAGAGCTGCCCAGGTTCCCCTGGGTATTGGCACGCTCCAGCTGCAAGCAAACTCCTCTGGGGTCAGCAGAAGAACCCACTGGCTTCTTATACACTGTCGATCAGGTCATCCAAACACAGCAGAACTACCAAGCAGCTGTTAAGCTTGTCCTACACATACCTGACAGTCCCTAATTCAAAGGAAGCTTCCAAACGGGCACATTTAGGGCAAGCCTTCAGCAGCATTTCTTAAGTGCCGAAGTGGCAAAAAGATTTCCTGCCACAAGAGGGAAGGAAGCCCGGCCAGGTGGGGAGGTTGCACGACACCCCACACTATCTGCAAGAGGTAAGCATGGGGGACAAGACAGATTAATCACAAGTAACTAGGGGAACTCAATCAGCTTCAATGTGGCAATCAAGGAAGATACATGGAGTGCAGGGAGACAGATGGTTGTGCGCATTTATTTCTCTTTGATAAAAATGGTATGCAAATTACACAGCCATGGAGGCTCTTGGGAAAATATCACCCTGCTGGTCCTCGGGGAGCTTCTTGGAGAGTCATAACATTCAAACACACCAGGGGGGGGGGGGGGGGGGGGTGGTGGAGGATGGATCTAAACTGGGAAGAACATGAACTTCAACATTTTCCAGTGAAGCGAAAAGATTGTTAACTTATTTTTCAACTTCCTTTTTTGTTTTTACACGTTCAGGAACGAACTACGGAGCACCAAGAGTCAACAAACCCCTGCCACTACTGCGCCAGAACTAAATTGCTTGGGCAGAAACGCACCTTTTGAACACGTTCTTCTGCACGGCACTTTCAACTCAAGTTCAAGAACAGCAAGCCTGATCCCTGAAGGCATCTAGGCTCCTTTACACCATCCCAAGAGCGTAAAGAGGCGGGGGCGGGGCGTGGAGGATGGATCTAAACTGGGAAGAACATGAACTTCAACATTTTCCAGTGAAGCGAAAAGATTGAAAACTTATTTTTCAACTTCCTTTTTTGTTTTTACACGTTCAGGAACGAACCTACGGAGCACGAGTCAACAAACCCCTGCCACTACTGCGCCAGAACTAAATTGCTTGGGCAGAAACGCACCTTTTGAACACGTTCTTCTGCACGGCACTTTCAACTCAAGTTCAAGAACAGCAAGCCTGATCCCTGAAGGCATCTAGGCTCCTTTACACCATCCCAAGAGCGTAAAGAGGCCATACTTCAAATGTAGTTTTCATGCACATCAACCCTCTACCAGGAGATCAGAGGCACCTGTGTGCAAGGGACACAGGCTCAGTTCATCCAAGGGAACACTGAGACAAATGACATCAGAAATTTCCAGGTCATTTCAATTTTTCTTTTGATCCATTCCCAATAAGATGCTGGGAGAAATAACCAAAACCCAAACTTGGCTCAAGTTTTAAATATTTGCCTGAAAGGAGGGCTAGGGGAGGGAATCATGTACAGTTAAAATCAAGCTACTCAAAACACAATCATTCAGGTAAGTAACTAGAAGTATCGCCTCTACCATCTAGAGAGAGAGAGAAGAGTGTCTGAGACAGAGGGCATATTTAGGAAAAAATACACATCTGAAGTCTCTGTGGCCACGATGAGAACTGGAATCCACATACAAGCCAGTTAAAGAGCATTTCAACATGAAATCTTAACTTAGTAGGAAGGTCAGGGGTTAAGCTGTATCTTTTTGTTTTAAATACATGGACAGCTGTCAGATATGAAAATGATGGTGGGCTTTCCTGAAAGATCCCCCTGTGCATGTGTATGGATGCATGTGCTGATGTCTGTGGGGCAGCATGACAAGAGTTTAGGAAGGCTGGGAGCCCAGCAGTCTCTCAATAGCTGCATTGATGTCTCCACCAGTGGCAATAAGCGCCTGGAGGTTGGCCTCACGATTAATGAAGCCCATGGCGTTCAGCTGCTCCAGCTGCTGTTGGAATCGCACTTCAGGACTCTGCGCCTACAGAGGGAAAGGACAAAGACCTTAGAGTCAGACAGCAGAGATCAACATCCAATATGGGCAGGGCCAGCAACGACGGCTAAGCAGGGACCCTGAGCTCAGCTTTAGGCGTACTGAAATACTCTAGGCTCGTTTAGTGATGTTACCCACCTCCCCACATTGCCGTGGGCTTTGGCACAGCAGCCACACTGCACGCAGTTAGTCCAAGTTCTGTACCTACGGTGACAGAAGCGCTGGAAGGAGGATCCCTGGCACTCTTAGCTTCAAACCTGCGCAAAGGGTTACTACACCCCAAAGAACTAGCCAGCCTGAGACACCAAACTTAGCATAAAGCACCATAGCCAAGAGAAACCTGTTGGGGACCACGTTCCTAGGGGTGGGGTGGGATCAGGACAACCTCTAGCTCATCCTGGAGATGTCCCTCCCCAGAAGCGTATCAGCATGCAGCTGGGCATTACATACTTGAGAGGTTCCTCCGGCCAGCAGCTGGATCATCTGCTGCATGAGCTGCTGTTGGGGGTTACCACCCCCAGCTGGAGAGGCACTGGCCGGCGTCGAAGCGGAGGGAACGGGGTTCTCCGGGATTGTGCTTTCTCCTGTGGAGGACGGGGGCATTCGAGGCATGCCGAAGGAGCCGAGGCTGCAGAGGAAGGCAGGGCACGCTCAGAGGCAAGTTGGCACTTCTGGGTGTCCCCCAAGAGCTGGGCAGCACAGTAACCAGCAGGCTCTGCCAGGCTGGCCCTCACTGAGGTCCACACTACAGGACAGCTTTGTAAATTAAACTGGCTGCATTTGTATCCTGGTCACACATGGTGCTGGGAGTAAGCAATCCTAACAGAGGCACAGGCCTGAAAGGAACTGCAGAGACCGAACGTGACCCACGCTGCCAGAGAGCAGAAGGCCTGAGGGCTGCCGGCAGACCAGTCTGCCCCAACGTACCCACCCAACCTTGTAGCTGTGCATCTCATACTGTTCTCCAGAGATAAAATTCTTGAGTTCAGCCAATACTGAATACAGCAAACAAAAGATGGGGGAGGGACCAAGTGGTTTCCAAACCTTTTCTCCAAAAAGAAAGGGTCAAGGACTTCCCACGTGAAGTACAAACAGAAAGTGCTAATTAGCTGGAACTCACAGAGGCCTGCAGGCGCACACACACACACACGCAGAAGTCCCCATGACAGGGTGCCCTAAGCAGATCTCCTCGATGAATCAACAGCTAGTCTGCCTGCTGGTATCAAGCATGTCAGCTCTGCCTGCAGAAACCCACTGTAAAACACTTATTACCTTGGCACTAGTCCTGGGGCCTCCGTTTGCAGCGTCTGGAGTCCCTGCTGGATCTGGAGGAGCGCCTGCATGGCACGGGGGTTGGTGAGAATGGAGAGGGAGTCTGGGTTCTGCATCTGGGAACAAAGGCAAAAAGACACAGCGGTACCAAACAGCGAGAGCTTCTGCAGCCAGAGATCCATCAGCTCTAAATGTGAACAACAATCAGCACAGAGATGCGCCTCTCGCCCTGCAGCCAAAGCAAACCTACAAGTCTGGTTCCTCCTTCAAGTCTCCAGACTGCAGGGCTCATCTACAGAGATACTCAAGAGTTTAGATCACATTTCCTAAATGAACTAGGTGAATCAGATTAGAACTGGGGGCACATGCCTTTGGAATTAAAGTGATTTGATTTACCTGAGTGAACCAGCTGCTCTAGCACAATTAGCTGTTTTAATTTCTGTAAACTCATTACAGTGAGAGACTGTCCACACAGGGGTTTCATGTAGCTTAACTAGTCTAATTTGAAGTCTACCTTTAGGTAATTTAGATTACTTAATGTAGATTGCCTTGTCTAAACAAGCTCTTCCTTTCTCTCTCCCCTGTGCAAACCCCTTTCTTTCACAGCCCAAACCACCCAAGCCCACATGCTTCCTAGTCCACTTGACTAAGCAGCCCAGATACTCCCTTTCCTACAGAGGATGGAAAAGCTCTGGAGCCCAGGAGCTGAGAGCAGCACAGGGCCAGACAGGGGCCTTTACCTGCTGCAGGAAGACAGGGAGCTGAAGGCGAAGCTGTTCTTGAAGCTGTGGATTCCCAGCAAAGAGGGGGACATTTACCATGATCTAGCAAGAGACAGCACACGTAGGTAGGGTCAGAGGGTTGCTGCCACTGGCCGTTAAGCCCTACGTAACTAAGCCATGAAGAACAAGTCAGTCATGCCCCTGACTCCCTCCCTGGGCTTTCAACATGTTCCCCTGCTAATGGGGACTGAAACAGGACAGCTCAATTCCTGGCAGCAGTGTTGAACAGGGGCCACTTGGCCACGGGCAAAGAGAAGGGCCATTCCCACGTCCCTTTGAAAGCCACCTTTTTTGGTAGGGGCTCTGCTAAGACACAGGGTTCAGTACCGTGACTGCCTTCAAGCTATTGAGAAATACAACAAAACTGTCTATATTCACTCAGCTCTCCGGTTTCTGCAAGAGGAACCACTCCAACTATAGAAGCAGACTGGTCTCACAAGCATTGTGCTCACGGCCTGTCTGACAATAGAAGACAACTGCACCACTTTTACCTGTGCTGCAAAGTCCGGGTTCTGGGCAAGAGTTTGCATCATGCTCCGCATGTAAGGGGCAGAAATCATGTTCTGCATCAGCTGAGGGTTTTCAGAAATCTGCTGCAGGAGTCCTTGCATCTCTGGGCTGTTAAACATGCCTGCAAGGGGAAAGGGAAGAGAAGACAAAGGAAAGCCCCTTACAAGCCTGAGCACTGCTGCAATGCCTGAAATACAACATGACATATAACAGCAATGCCTTTACTTCACCCCCTGGCCAAGAGTGAATATCGCTGTGAACAGCCATGGTAGTGCTTTGCTTGCCACTCTCCCATGCTCTCGAGGGCTGCAGGGACATCAGAGTTCCCAAAGTAACCCTCCGACAGGCGCGCAAGAAATAACCCATTTGTGCTTGCAGCTGGGCTAGAATCATTCATCTGGAGAGCAGCCCCGGACAGGCACTCAAATGGCAGAGGGAACCACCCTCCAAGGAAGCCTGGGTGACCTGTTCAGTCAATAGCACCCTCTGGTTCCTCTCTTGCTTACGTACCAGCCCCAATGCTAGCAGCATTCAGCCCAAAGGGGTTGGATACAGTCGGTGTGCTTTGGGTGGTTGCCGAGCCAGTGCTCCCTTCACTGCTGGGCGCCTGGCTCTGGGAAGCAGGGGGCGTGGGGCTCCAGGGGTTCGGTAACGGCTCCCTGTTCTCCGTCCGCAAAGGCTGAGAGCTTGAGCTATCAGAATTCCCCGTCAAGGAAGAGAAAGGATTGTTGCCAAACTAGGGAAAAAGAAAAAAGAAATAGCCGTAATCATTTAGCCCCAGCAGAGAATGTCGGACTAACCCCACCACTGTATGAGCTAGGGAACAGCTGATCATATTCATCTAGGTCCAGAATTTGCTAAACACATGCCAATAATTTGCTTCCTGAGGAATCTGTAATCCACAACACACCTCGCTCAGAAAAAGACCAGGCTCAAGAAGTGGCCACAGCCCTAGATTTGGCTCCCAAATGCAGGGCTTCAAAACATCCATGTAAAATCAGCACCCGGACATACCAGTAAGTAATGCTAGACTGGAGTATGTCTGCACAGCCTTTTGCAGACAGACCTGCGCTCACTCCTCCTGTGTTTCAAGCCAGCTGGATCTCAGCCAGCTCCAATCCAAAGGCGTCAGGCTTGAGCTAATACAGTAAGCTGGGCTGACAGCAGAGGGCCGTGCTAACGAAGCTATGGGGCCTTCACATTGGCGATGGCTGGCATCCAGCCTGCTCGGAGACCAAAGGAGCGAGGGCAGGTCTCTGCTCAGATACACCAAACCATGTAATAAAAGCAGATGGCAGGCACCGCACAACGTTCTCCTGCTAGTGGCTGCATTCATCATCTAGAGCAGGAGGGGATGAACAGCCATGCTTTGGGAAGGCTGCCCCGTTAGCACGGGGGTCAGGGAAAGATCCCTTTCCCATGCTTAGCCCACTACACCCCACTTACAGGAATGCAGCCAATACCTGCTCCCTGGCTGCACTAAACATGGGCTCCTGGATGTCCGTGTACATCCGGCGCAGGGCGTTGTATCCTCCTGGAATGCTCTCGAGGTTACTCAAAGCACGGTCCTGGTTCCGCATCATCTCCTGCATCATGGCAGGGTTACGAGCCAATTCCATTGTCTGGGAGAAGGAGGAAAACGTGGAAAGCTCAGGTCCATGTGCACCATGGAAGACCAGAGCGGATCAAGAGGCTGGTTAGCAGCCCAGCTGTATTCTACTGATCTACCAGCCAAGCACTGAAAGAGTTAAATCTCAGCTCCCAGAAGAAAGAGTATAATTAAACCCGTTTCACAGCCAGAGAGCAGAGAGATCATTTATCCAAGCAAAGAGAGCCCAGGGATCCTGGCTCCTCCCATCTTTGCTCAGCTCTCTTCCTTCTCAACCTCAATTCAGCTGGATGAGATTGTTTTGTTTCTAAGCAGTATCAGGACATCCAAACATTTAACACCCATATGTTCCCACTCAAAGTAGATGGACTGCATTCAAAAACTGAGAAGGTGGAAGACATTGGATCCTTCCCATTTCAAGAAAACCAAGAAATTCACCCTCTCCAGACTTCTGATGGGTCTCCCCTGCACAAGGAACATACAGATCTCATTTGACAAGCTGCTTAAGTACGCATCATTCACAATGTAGTCCTGCAGCTCTGGAATTTCATGTATGGCCGACACAGTTGAAAGAAAGATAACCGAGAAGCAGATGGAAACTAGGCTCATTCAGCAACAACCCAGAAAGACCTCCTGACAAGTCTTCCTGGGGAAACAGCAGTCTCCTGTCAAGGGCTATTTAACACTCAGGCTCTCACTCATCCCTTATGCTTCCCTTCCGATGAACCTTCGGTCTTCCAGATAGCCAGTCCTCTAGGGCATGGGTCCTCTCTGTTCTGGGATTGTACAGAAAATCGAGACCTCTAGGATCCCGGCTTACGACTAGTGCTCTCCGCTGATACAGGTAGTAAAATATTGACTGTACAGCTCCGTAGTCTATACTTAATCTATCGAGAGAAACAAAAAGCTTTTGCAGTAGCTTCACTTCTCCGTGACTGCTTTTACTCCCATTCCTGAATCAGAACACAGTAGCCTTGTATGCAGCACGCTAGGATGATCCCAGCATCCTTTTTTGCCCAACACATGATAGATTCAATAGCCCTGAAAGGGAGATAAGAGTTGCAAGTATGTGGGTTGAGTAATCAGTATTCACATAACTCAGGACCACCATCTGTTTGTGGGGAGCTTACAGCAGGAAGGAAGAGATCTCTAAAATCACTGATCTGGCATTCACACACTCCCTTTGGAGAGCAGACACTGAAGCTAGTCCACAAAGATGCTCTTGAACATGCTTTAAACAGACCCTGGCATGCTGACTCACCTGCCTCATGAGCTCCGGGTTATTCAGCATGTGGCTTATCTCTGGATTTCGCTCCATGAGCTGCTGCATCTGGGGATTGGCCATGATCATCTGTCTCATGAGGTCAGGGTTAGACATCATGTTCTGCACCAAGGGATTCTCCATGATCTGAGAAAGCATCTCTGGGTTGGACATCAGCTGCCGCTGCATCTGCTGCTGGAGCTCCATGAAGTTGGCAGAGCCCATCCCAAGGTTGCCCAGCCCAGTGATGCCGCCAAAGCCAGCTGGAGAGGGAACAACACATGGGGAGAGAGGCGTGAGTCAGTAACTGTCGGCAGCTGCAAAAAGAGGACAAGCACATCAGCTGAACTGCACCCACGCTAATCGAGGGGTATCTTATATTCCTACAGCAGCCAGCTCTGAGGGAGGACACCCCCTGCACATGCTTCCCTAAAGGCTTTGGCATTATCCTGAGCAGGGAAACCGAGGTATGCTGGTGGAAGCAACTCATGCAAAGCCTACAGCAAGCAGAGACAACTACAGGGGTCAAGAACCCCAACTCCTTGGTCTAATCCTAGGAAATTCTTCTTTCGAGTCACACCTTCTCACAGCCATCACTTACACAGGATGGATGTAGCACTGTTAGAGCCTCCGTCTCCAGGACCTCCCATGGTCCCTGACCCACTGCTCCGTCTGCTGCCGCTCCCTGTGTCAGAAACGGCGCTGCTGGATGTGGAAGGCTGAGATGGGGCAGCAGGAGAAGAAGGGGTTGCAGTGGGGGCAGAAGCGGCATTGGGGGCAGAAGCAGCAGATGTTGAATCTTGGACCCTGCAAAGAAACAAAAGATGACATTAAACTGAGATTCAGGAACGGTGAGCAGACTCCTCTGTGGGGGACACAGGATGGTGCACCCCACACCGACCGAGCCTCCTTCGCGCCTGTTGTCCCCGCAGCAGCCAGCTCTGGCTGCTTCCATTCCTGCCTGCATGGATGCACAGCTGTGCTCCCAGATGCCTTCCATCTGCTGAAATCTGCCTCCCATCCTGATGCGTAACAGCCCCTGACATTCTATCTTGGCCCACACAAAGTGGCTTGACTGGTCTTACCCCAAGTTGTATCTAGCTTTTCCTTGAATCACACTGAACTATTTACCTCAGCTATATCCTTGAGCAATGAGTTTGCTCCAAACAGGAAAATCCTCCTGCTGCTCCCACAGAAACCACAGGAGGTTACAGCAGGGCTAGTGCATGGGGTAAACAATAATCTGCTTTTCTGCAAATCCTCCCATGCACTGAATATTCCTATCAGTGCTCCTGGGGGCAAAAATAAGTACCAGCATTACTCTACAGAAAGGGAAACTGAGGCACAAGGCAGCTAGCATCTGTCCCATGAAGCTACAGAACGTTTCTGGCCAGCTTGGCTATGAATTCACATCTCTGCCACTGGTTGTACCTCGTATGCAAGGCTTCCCCATCCAACACAAGTTGGCTAGAGCTTCTTTTAATACACACATGCAGATACTGTGCCATAAGCCACAGCGCAGCAGATGCTGGACATCAGCTTTATTGAGTAAACCAACCCCAGCTAGTACCTTGTAATCACAGCTCCTCCTCAGGATTTTTATAGGAATTTGAAAGAGAACATTTAAAGATTCTCTGAAGCATCTACAGTCATGACAGTGAGTCCTGGACTAGCGCTGAAAAGCTTTCACATGAAATTAGACCACAAAATTCACTGTACTTGCCTCAAATAGTGCTATTATGCCACTGACAAGTAAATAAGAACAATATCTTGATTTTTTTTTTCCCCCCAAACCAAGAATTATTCTTTTCTCTAACTCCCTTTCCTTTTTCACTCTTATTCTAGGACTTTAAAAATCAAACCTGAAGGTCCCTGTCCACTTTCCAGACTCACCTGACTGCTGCTGAAAACCAGTGGCCACTGAGAGGGAGGCAGAGTGGGGAAACAAAGCAAATAGGAAGCTGAACAAAAAAGGAAGGAGGAAGCTGGAGAGAGGTCACTTGGTTTCTCTCAACACAGGAAGAGGCTGTAATTCTTCAGTAAGCACTTATTTATGACTATTAGCAGGGGAAAAAAAAGTGAGCAACCCAGGACAGCTCTCTCGTTTACCCTCTGAAATGGTTCATAAGTACTGCAGTTTGCTGTGGAGGCAGTGGTAAACAGCATCAGACCATCAGGCTACCTGGAGATGCAGAACCCAGAGAGAGGCCTCCTGCAGAAGCTGCCAATAAACATGCTTGTCTTTGTAAAAAAGAGGCAGGGCAGGGGGGAAGCACTAATCTCGACTAAGCCAGTAAGGCAGCTCTCCCAGGGGACAGCAGAACTGCACAAAGAGACGCAGTCCTGTTAGTTCACCAGGAGCCCGACCAGACTGCAGCAGGGAGCCCACGAAATGGTTGTGAAGGGGGTTTCGAGATCAACAAGACGTGGCTGTGCCTGAAGTGCAGCAACTGTTCCCAAGAGCCTTCTGTGCCCACCATTCCATTGGATAGCACTGGGAAAAGCCTAACCCTGCAGGACCTTGCAGTCAATCCTGCATCCCCTTCTCAGGCTGAGCTACACAGCGCAGATGGACACAAGTGAGCCATGTCCAAACTGGGAGCTACCGTGGGGTGTGCCCACAGTACTTGAGCTAACAACCACACTGCCGCATGCACGTGGGCATACGGCCCGAGCCTCCGCGCATTCCCACCGAGGTGGAGCACCCACCTGTCTGCACCTGCCCAAGCAGACATGCCTATAGGTACCACACAGGAACACTGTTCTGCCCTACAGATAGTGCTTTGCATGTGTGGCGTGCCTCCCATGGCACCTGAGAGACCGTGAGCACAGGCTTAGAGCAGAGTATATGATAGGAAGCGAAAGAAAAACTGGGTATTAGTTTCAACTTCAACGCAAATTCATTGGGAAAGTAATTTCTGTTAATGGCAACTTATTTTTGTTAGAACTAGTATCAAGTTCCAATGGGTTCTTTCAAGATTACTAAATTATAAAGGCTCAAAATACGCAAAGCCACATACACACGTTGTGTTAAAGAAGAGTCAGCCCCCTCAGGTACTTGCCACAAACTTACACAGCTGTGTAACCTAGGGAAAAGACAGGCCGAGTGATAAACCCCAGAGCTGCATGGCAAAGCCATGGCAGGGAGAGTGCCTGGGAGAGTCCTCCTGCCAGATCACCGCTGCCAGACTCGCACACGCCCCAAAGCCAGCACTCAGGCCTCACACAAGTACTCTGCTTCAGACATCGATAGGGCAGAAATGCTCCACCATCGTTTATTCGCATCATCCTTTTACCCTCAGCCCCCCAAGACGAAACAGTTTCTTACTTCTGCGGAGTCTTAATGACCAAGTGTACAGTCAGCCCATCTTTGATCCCATGTTGATTCAACGTGTCTCCATCCTTCAGGATCTTCCCAGCAAAGATCAGAACCAGCTGATCCTGTTTGGCTTTAAACCGCCTGGAAATCTCTTCTTTGAACTGAAAAACAAACAAAGCATTTTTCAGGCAAAGGACCGAGACCAGAAATTTAAAGCTCATACTCCAGATATCATATCCACTATGCAAACAGCATAAGGAACTGACAGTCCTTCAGTACCTCACCCAAAAGGAGCCATGCAGGTACCAATTCAGTCACCAGTTGCTGAGGATGTCTGAGGAGCATTTTTAGGACCGAGGACCGAGACCAGAAATTTAAAGCTCATACTCCAGATATACTATGCAAACAGCATAAGGAACTGACAGTCCTTCAGTACCTCACCCAAAAGGGGCATAAAAAAAAAAAAAAAAAAAAAAAAGACAAGCTCTACACTTACATAATGTGGAGTAAATTTCAGAAAGAATAGAGCAATTACCTCAAGAAGAGCTGAAGGCTTCCAAAGCAAGATCAAGTGTGTCTCTTAGGTCTAATCCAAATATACCATTTATCCTCTGAATGACTGAACTGTTTTTGTCTCTGCTCATTTGATTTTTTTCCTAAGGAAAGCCCAACTCTGTTTTAATACAGGACAGAGCTCTATGGAAAAGGGAACAATCCTTTATCAGCCAATGGAAATAAACTAGGTCTTCTCCAATTCCTATTTCTGCAACTGAATTCCCTATGAGCATGCCACGCCACATAACATGGACACCTCTTCTTTACTGTGTGATGGGGTGGGATTAACACCTGCCAATAATGTTGTCATTGCTAGCCCAGCTGGGGCATTCCCAAGTTGATCTGCGAGGAAAAAAAGCCTTGCATTTGGAAGCCACAAACTACAGGAAATTCAGAGGGAAAGGCCAGGACGGAAAGAGAAGCACACACCTGTCCCAGAGGAACTCGCAGCCTTCGCAGCAGAACCCTCAAAAACAACGCCCAGGAGAGCGCAGCCCTGAGCCCCAGGTCATCCTGGTCGCAAAGTTTCATGCTCTCCTCTGCACAAAGCCATCACTTAACATCCCGCTTATACTGACGGGCTCTCAGGAGCTGACCAGGAATGAGCAGGAGGGCCACACGTCCTACAGCCCCTGCCTACCCCACAACTCTGCTCCCCAGAGGCCTCCACCAGGTCCTTCACACCACAACCTCGTGCCCTACACCCCAGATCAAAGCGCGCAGCAAGCCAAGAAGCCGAGAGCCGTGCCGATGACACCTTGCCCCAGTGGGCAAGCCACTTCAGAGCCCCAGGTCATCCTGGTCGCAAAGTTTCATGCTCTCCTCTGCACAAAGCCATCACTTAACATCCCGCTTATACTGACGGGCTCTCAGGAGCTGACCAGGAATGAGCAGGAGGGCCACACGTCCTACAGCCCCTGCCTACCCCACAACTCTGCTCCCCAGAGGCCTCCACCAGGTCCTTCACACCACAACCTCGTGCCCTACACCCCAGATCAAAGCGCGCAGCAAGCCAAGAAGCCGAGAGCCGTGCCGATGACACCTTGCCCCAGTGGGCACAGCCACTTCAACAGTGCTTGGGCCAGTCCTTGCAAATTCCAGCCCCCTCCCACTTGCCCCATGCCACTGTGCCCTGTGAAGCTCCCTTACAGGAGCAGAGCCCGCCAGCCCACACGTGGGCTGATGGTCCCTTTCCTCCGCTCCATCCAACCTTCGCCCCAAAGACTTGCCCAGCCTCCTCCTCTCACCCGAGGGATCTGCCTCCCAGTGTCCAGACCCACCCCACAACACCCACTGCCTCCCCACAGGCAGCCCCATATGCACTCACCAGGCTCTGCCCCCAAAGCCACTCCTCCCCATCACAGCACCCTTCCAGTACCAACCGCTCAAGGAACACCTTCCCTCCCACTCCCTGCGCAGCCCAGCCCACGGGCCGGGCCCCCAGACCCCCACCCCGATCCTTCACACCTCTCTCCCCACCGCCACCATCCACCCCAAAGCTCCCTTCCCCACGACCGCTCCCCACAAAGCCACTCTACAAGACCCTCACAACACACCCCTCCCACATCCCCACCAGCACCCTGTTTTCGACACCCACAAACCCTCCCACGGATTACCCCCAGGACCATGTCCCCCCGCCCCGGGACTGTCCTCATCCCTAGTGTCAGCTCCCCGCTCAGAGCCCCCCCCCCAGA